ATTCTGAATAATGCTTCATTTCATTAGCCAGAACTTTTGAAAACTCATAATTCATGGAGTATGCAATGGCTGTATCAGCACTTGTCCCATAAGTGTTTTGAAATCTTCTTTTAATTTCATTAAGGAATAAGAAGGCTCTACTGCGTTCAAAATCCTGAAAGAAAAAATACTGAACATATTGATTACACTTTGGAAGCTTATAAAGACTTGCTGAAGTATAAATAAATACTACATATAAGTAGGTAGGTACTCACATCATCTGTGATACATAAGTAAATGATGCCATTCTCTGAAATGTAATGAAACAAATAACTTCCATGTGAATAAGTTAGTTTTTCATTTTGTGGGGGAATTTTTAGAATGATCTGCTCAGTAACTTCTGCAAAGTTTCCAGCACAACTTGCATATTTTGCCAAGACTGTTTTTCCTCTACATACGACGCTGTACAAAATAGGCATCTAAAATATTGTTATTTGTGAATGTCATTATGTAGGACTGCAGATTAGGAAGTAGATCACTAGTATATTATTGTTCAAATGTATCAAATTGATAATGTTTCATTTTCAATACTAACCTTGATAAAACTTCGGAATCAAATGAAAAAATATATAATTCTCTTGGGTCTGTACAACAAAAGGAATGTGATGATAAATTTGAATCACAACAATATTAGCATATTAGCAATAACAATAATAAATTAATGAAATAAAATGAAGTGATATTGGCGTCAACGTCAACAATAAATACTCCCACCCCACCAGCCACCGTCACTCGGTCACTCTCGTCAGACCACAAAAAAAAAGTGTCTGGCTGAAATGTGATTTCTGAATTCAATGGTTTTCTTTTTTAACTGGTGAAATAAAAAGAGATAGAACATAGATATCCAATCATGTGGCCTTGTTGAAATGCAATGATCTAAGGCAAATGTCATTACATAACCTAAAATAAGAAGACCAGCGTCTAGAGACAGGAAGAAAAAAAAATAGTCATTGTGGTGGGGGAACCGCGCCATATACGTATCGATAAACAATACGGATCATAACGGGTGCCAGGATGAAGCCAAAAATATGAAACAAATGATAGCACCCTTCGTACAGTCCACTATTCCGCTGATAACCACGACATGTTCAACACAGTCGTGGAGAAGCATGAAACTCCAGTTTACCTAGCTCCAGCTGCACACTCTGACCCAGTAGATATTGTATACTCTGGTCCAGTACTGAATGTATACTCTGCCCCAGTACAGAAGGTATATTCTGCCCCACTTGCACATGCTTGCTCCAGTACGTGCATCCCAGTATGTGCAAGCTGCCACAGTCGTTCTTTCTGCCCCAGCTCACTTGTGGAGTGAATGAAGTGGAAAATCATTATTTATTTATTAAGTTATGTTATATGTTTATTCAATTTGGAATATATTTATCCATATTTTCATTAATAAAGAAGTTATTTTTGCAAAAAAAAAAAAAAAAAAAAAGAATATCCATAAGGATTTGGTGGCATGATACGCATGCGCCATGCGCTATTATAATAGTAGTCATCAACATGTATTGTGTTTCGGTGGACAATGACGTTTACTAGCCTTTCAATCAAAGCAGTATGTGTCTGATCGTATCTCACTTTTCCTTATGGATAGTCATTTGTCTTCAAAAATCGGCTTCATGTTTCGCTATGGAAACAGATAGAGATTATCCGTATTGATCACCTAGCGCTTGGCGCGGTTCCCCCACCACGATGACTATTTTTCTTCTCCTGTCTCTAGACGCTAGTAATGATCTAAGGTGCTTTCACTTTCCTTTCAGCATTGATAGCAGTGTCAGAACTGTCAGCACCGTATGTTCAAAATATTGATGTCTTATTAATTTTTGTAACAATGCAATGAAATAAAGTATTTGAAGATGTCCTACAATAATGCACTACTGAATGATCTGTTTCCCAAGGGTTATACAGGTAGGTATATAATTGAATTAGCTACTTCCCTAATTTTTCATTCTTGTATTGATCTTTAGATGACTGGGATTCAGATCACATTGAAAAATGTTTGTTCAAATTGGGAACCTACAAAGTCAGTGATTTATTGAAAAAATCAGAGGCAATGAAATCTGAAAGAGTTACTTTGGAGGAGCGGATACAAGAATTAGCCATTACCAATTATAAAACATTCATTGAAACTGCTGAATGTTCACAGGAGTTATTCAGTCAATACAATGGCATAGAAAAAAAACTAGATAAGCTCTTGTATGATATTCCCAATTTCGAGGAGAAATGTGCCACATTTGGAGAGAAATCTGGCAGTATCAGTCAATGGAGAAAACAGAACTCATCCACTTTGGAGAAAAGTGCCCAAATTCTTGAGATTCTGGAGCTGCCACAACTGATGAACTCTTTCATAACTGATGGATTGTATGAAGATGCCTTAGAGTTGGCTGGTTATGTGAGAAAGCTAGAAAGTAAAAACTCAGATATTCCTATTTTCAAAGTAAAATCAAGGTTCAAGAAATTATTGCAAATAATTTTATCCCATGGTTTTTCAGAGTATCGTTGCTGATATTGATAAGGCATGGCTCCTAATGTTACATCAGCTTGTTTCTCAACTGAGAGGGGATCTGTCTTTGCCAAAGTGCCTTCAGATTCTAGGGATTTTAAGGAGAATGGAAGTTTTTTCTGAAACTGAACTACGTTTGAAATTTTTGCAGTGTAGGAGTTGTTGGTTGGACCATTGCTTAGAAATTATTCCAAAAAATGAAGGTATCTAAGAATCCAATGTGTACCTAATACTTAATTGATTGGTGAATTCTAGATATGATTATTTAATAATGAAAAAAACATGCTCTTCTATAGAGTTATTCCTATGTGTCTGAGAAGTCAGCACAAATTATGTTATGGCAAAGAATTGTTTCTTGATAATTATTTATATCTCACATCACCAGTAGTGGTTTTTTGTTTATTTTCAGTGAGTCATCACTTGAGTAAAACAATAGAAGTGACAAGAGTTAATTTATTCAATATACTTACTCAGTATAGGGCAGTTTTCAATGATGATGAAAGAGGGCCATTAATTTTGAGTACAACAACTAATTTGAATGTCAACCAGAATCTCATTCTCTTCAGTTGGATCAAAAGCAAAGTAAGATATTTTCATATTCCCAAATCATCTTGAGTCTCCCTACTAATGTGCTATCAAGATTTCAGATTTTTTGCTTACTTTGGAAAGTGACCTTCAAGATTTGACACCTATAGAGTCTATCTTGGACCAGTGCATGTATTTTGGTGCATCTTTCAGCAAAATCGGCTGTGACTTCAGAACATCCATGATACCAATCTTCACGAAAAAAATCTGCAAGGATTTCAAAGAGTCTGTTTTCGAAGGGAACAAGACTTTTGAGAAAAACATTGACAGGTTCACTCTGATAGATAAAAACTACCCAGGCATTCCATGGAAGACAAAAAGTGAGAACCAAATGCAACCACCTGATAGTCTACTGGAATTCTATCCTCTGGCTGAATACACAAATAATATTCTGTCTGCTCTGAATAATTTGAGGTTGTGTGCTCCTATCGCCATTCTGGATGAAATTGTAGCTACTTTAGAGGCCTCCTTAGTAGTAATATCGAAATTGCTCTTGAAACTCTACATACAGGAGCAACAAGCTTTTTCTACCACTTCCAAAGATGCATTCACCAGGCTCTGCATGAGTTTTTCTGATGACTTAGTGCCTTACTTGCAGAAATGCTTGCACATCATTTATCAACCTAGTCAGATCGCATCGACACTTGGAGTTAGTGTGAAGATTTTACAGGATGAAGGTATAACATTCTTGAATAGGGAACTTGTTATTGCTCCCATTGTACATTTGCTTCCCATGAAAACTGACTCAGAAAATATTTGTATCATAGAAGCTGTCCAGTAATCTTTTTGTGAATTGTACAGTAGCTTATTATTTAAATTCTGTCTGTATTATTTTGAAATAAATCATTTTATGAAAACTAATTGCATTTTTTTTTTTTCAAAGGAAATCGTATTGATGCAAACTGTTCTGCTTTAGTATCACCTAATGATGATGCCTCAGGAATTGATTGAAGTTTATTTCATGAATAATCAATAATAGTCCAGACAACACGGCAGGGATCCCTACGAGGGGCGAGTAACCGACTCTGCGTATTGTCGCCATTATGTATTATTGGTATACAGGTCCTCCTTTGTTATCATACAGAATTGATTAAATCAAGAAAAAGTCTAATCAGAAAGTGAATTATCTGATGGTCAGGCTTCTGAAACCGATTGAAGATTAAATCTTTGAATATTTAATTCCAGTCGATTAAAAATATATAACATGAAGAGTAGCGACTCTTGGTGTTTGTACTCCTTCTGCGAAAGAGGTTGTCGCATAGCATTCTTGAAATATATACAGGGTGCTATTTAATTGATGAGTAAAAATACAGGATAGTACCTTATTGGCTCATTTTAAGAAAATAAGTTCAAATGAACATGCATATATGCCCTCTATTTACCTCTTAACTTTCGAGCTATAGGATGTTAAATTTTATTTTCTCTTTATTATTGATCAAGAAACTTTCACAAAACTGTCACATGAAAAAACTTCGCAAACGATAAGATTTCCACAAAATTCTTAAACACACAACATGTTTCGCTAACACAGTAGCTTCGTCAGGTGATATACTGGTATAATGAACTAAACCAACGTTGGCTTGCTCAACTTTTATATGTATCCTACTTTCCCAACTTGAAGGATTTTAGTTACCTGTGGACAGGTTCGATAAACCTTCATTTTCGGAAATTAGGCACAATATCTACATTAAAATACGGTGTACCGGATTAACTTGGAAGGGTTGATAGCAAATAAATATTAACTATACTAAGAAAACAAATTCAACAGTGGTCAACTATTGAGGTCTAATAGATCGTTAAAAGTAAAATGTCAAAATTGTTGAGTTTGTTGATTTCTAATGATTCAAAATGATTGAGTTTCATTCCTTTATTTTCTACGTGTAGAATTTCGAAATTATCATCAAAACTATGATTTTCTTTTAATATATGGTTGGCGTATGTAGAATTTGTTTTCTTTTTCAAAAAAATCATCTTGTGTTCATGAATGCGCTGATTAAACGTACGACCGGTCTGACCGATATATACCTTAGGACAAGATCCACAGCTGAGGTTGTATCACCCTCATTTTTAGAATTCAGAAGTTTTGTCTGTGAATTTTTTCAGATTTCTAAAAGGCCAAATGAAAATTTTCATTTCCCCACCTGAGACTTCGGTACGATATAGTCACCGAGCTATCTTCGGACGGCTGAAAGTGCCAGAAAACGGCGAAAATTCACGCGAATTATCGCATTTTCAGTAGATAATGACACGTTGAATCGAATGAGAACATGATCAGCCCGATAGGACAGATAGTTTTCGAGATATCGGCGCTCAAAGGCAGCTTTCCGATTTCATTGCCAATAGGTGCACTCCGGTAGGCTACTAGCTACTACGTCTCAATTTTCCAAAATTTACGAATTTCCACCACAGATTCGTTCATTTCGACATCGAATTAGTCTATGTGATTTTTTTCAGATTTTTAATAGGCCAAATAAAAATTTTCATTTACCCACCTGAGACTTCAGTTCGATATAGTCACCGAGCTATCTTCGGATGGCAGAAAACGGCGGAAATTCACGTGAAATATTGCTTTCCCAGTAGAAAATGACACGCTGAATCAAATGAGACCATGATCAGCCCGATAGGACAGATAGTTTTCGAGATATCGGCGCTCAAAGGCAGCTTTGCGATTCCATTGCCAATAGGTGCACTCCGGTAGGCTACTACGTCTCAATTTTCCGAAATTTACGAATTTCTACTACAGATTTGTTCATTTCGACATCGAATTAGTCTATGTGAATTTTTTCAGATTTTTGATAGGCCAAATAAAAATTTTCATTTCCCCACCTGAGACTTCAGTACGATAGTCACCGAGCTATCTTCGGACGGCCGAAAGTGCCAGAAAACGGCAGAAATTCACGCGAATTATCGCCTTTTCAGTAGAAAATGACACGCTGAATCGAATGAGACCATGATCAGCCGGATAGGACAGATAGTTTTCGAGATATCGGCGCTCAAAGGCAGCTTTCCGATTTCATTGCCAATAGGTGCACTCCGGTAGGCTACTACGTCTCCATTTCCCAAAATTTCCTGATTTCCACCACAGATTCGTTCATTTCGACATCGAATTAGTCTATTTGAATTTTTTCAAATTTTCAATAGACCAAATTAAAATTTTCATTTTCCTACCTGAGACTTCAGTACGATAGTGTCACCGAGCTATCTTCGGACGGCCGAAAGTGCCAGAAAACGGCGGAAATTCACGCGAATTATCGCTTTTCCAGTGGAAAATGACACGCTGAATCGAATGAGGCCATGATCAGCTCGATAAGACAGATAGTTTTCGAGATATCGGCGCTCAAAGGCAGCTTTCCGATTCCATTGCCAATAGGTGCACTCCGGTAGGCTACTACGTCTCCATTTCCCAAAATTTCCTGATTTCCACCACAGATTCGTTCATTTCGACATCGAATTAGTCTATTTGAATTTTTTCAGATTTTTAATAGGCCAAATTAAAATTTTCATTTTCCTATCTGAGACTTCAGTACGATATATAGTCACCGAGCTATCTTCGGACGGCCGAAAGTGCCAGAAAAAAGCGGAAATTCACGAGACTCATTGCTTTTCCAGTAGAAAATGACACGCTGAATCGATTGAGACCATGATCAGCTCGATAGGACAGATAGTTTTCGAGATATCGGCGCTCAAAGGCAGCTTTTCGATTTCATTGCCAATAGGTGCACTCCGGTAGGCTACTACGTCTCCATTTCCCAAAATTTCCTTATTTCCACCACAGATTCGTTCATTCCGACATCGAATTAGGCTATTTGAATTTTTTCTTATTTTTAATAGGCCGAATTAAAATTTTCATTTCCTATCTGAGACTTTAGTACGATTTAGTCACTGAGTTATCTTCGGACGGCCGAAAGTGCCAGAAAACGGCGGAAATTCACGCGACTTATTGCTTTTCCAGTAGAAAATGACACGCTGAATCGATTGATACCATGATCAGCTCGATAGGACAGATAGTTTTCGAGATATCGGCGCTCAAAGTCAGCTTTCCGCTTTCATTGCCTATAGGTGCACTCCGGTAGGCTACTACGTCTCAATTATCCGAAATTCACGAATTTCCACCACAGATTCATTTATTTTGACATCGAATTAGTCTATGTGAATTTTTTCAGATTTTTAATAGGCCAAATAAAAATTTTCATTTCCCCACCTGAGACTTCAGTACGATATAGTCACCGAGCTATCTTCGGACGGCAGAAAGTGCCAGAAAACAGCGGAAATTCACGCGAAATATTGCTTTCCCAGTAGAAAATGACACGCTGAATCAAATGAGACCATGATCAGCCCGATAGGACAGATAGTTTTCGAGATATCGGCGCTCAAAGGCAGCTTTGCGATTCCATTGCCAATAGGTGCACTCCGGTAGGCTACTACGTCTCAATTTTCCGAAATTTACGAATTTCCACCACAGATTCGTTCATTTCGACATCGAATTAGTATATGTGAATTTTTTCAGATTTTTAATAGGCCAAATAAAAATTTTCATTTCCCCACCTGAGACTTCAGTAGGATAGTGTCACCGAGCTATCTTCGGACGGCAGAAAGTGCCAGAAAACGGCGGAAATTCACACGAATTATTGCTTCCCTAGTAGAAAATGACACACTGAATCGAATGAGACCATGATCAGCCCGATAGGACAGATAGTTTTCGAGATATCGGCGCTCAAAGGCAGCTTTCCGATTCCATTGCCAATAGGTGCACTCCGGTAGGCTACTACGTCTCAATTTTCCAAAATTTACGAATTTCTACCACAGATTCGTTCATTTCGACATCAAATTAGTATATGTGAATTTTTTCAGATTTTTAATAGGCCAAATAAAAATTTTCATTTCCCCACCTAAGATATTATTTCTGATAAACCTTCCCAACGTGTTATTTGTTTTATACGCTACTCTCAAGTCCTGTTTGGGTAGAAATGAAGCAAATTTTTCAGTTGATGATCCGAAATAGGTTAAAGTTCTATAATTTTGTTTGTGAAGTTTTTACATTTGCCATGGATTTCCATCAACGGCCGAATCAATTCAGAAAAATTTTTTTTTTACGTTTATGAGTACTTGTCAAAATAATACCGTATCAACATAATCGATCCCGTAAGGATATCAAAAATGGAACAGCCTCTACATGGTGCCACTATTTGCCACTTATTATTGAATTGAGAGAGTGACTTCTCATTTTTATTTTGCGGGAATTTTTTTTGTTATTGTTGGAATCATAATTCACGGATGCATTAAGAGAATACATTTATTCGATATCTGATTTACATAATAAGTCTGTGCTTTTTATTATCCATAATAAGGAACACAACACTCGAAAAAGCCCCAGTTAGTAAAATGGTTAACCACTCAACTTCGGTTACATACCTACATGTAAATATTCAAGTTTACGAACTAACAATAATATATAAGTTAATAACTTCAACAGTCTAAATAGAAGAGAGAGATCGGTGTATGTTATATCCACCTTGATGTTTTCCTAAAGAATATTCACACATTGAGAAGTAAATTGATAGATTTGGTTGAGAAGTTGAAATCGACTCAAGTCACGTTTTGGTTTTAGCTTACATCCAAGATGGTGAATGTAATCTTGAAGATTTCAACAAGACCTTTGCAGGCGTCGCCGAGATTTTCTAGACTCGGAAAATTAGCTAAAACCAATAGGGCCTAAAACGTCACTTAAGTTGATGCACTTGGTCAAGAATTTGATATGCGGAACGAATTTTTCCATCATCCTTAAGAGAATTGTTGATTTTTGTTAACCTAGTGATTTATTCCATATCCTAACTCTAACAGTATGGGTACCGTTTTTTTAGCCATATCATTATATGACATATCCACAGCGAAAGCAACTACTATCTATAACTTTTTTATAATTGAAATCTTTCTTATTTGAGATGAAAACATGGATGATTGTTTATTCTGAGGATCACCGTGTACGTAGCCAGAGTCGTGTATTCGATTTGAAATTTGGTTCCCTTTTCAGGGCCATTTTTGCCTTGTCCTTTTTTAAAATGGAACGTGGATTCCTTTTTTGGCTGCAACGGGTAGCTTTTCGCCCATCAAAAAGGGGTTGGTTTTCTCGCTCTGTAAAAAATAAATTTCGAATAATTAGTGCTGTTACTCAGAAGATGCAATTATCGAGGGAATAGATAGATAGATGTTTGATTTAACCAAGTTACAAAATAATTTTTTTCTCGAAAAGTCAATATTGTTGAAGAACAGAATATAATATACATACACATTACAGTAAATTCCATAAAATAATAAATTAACGAATTAAAATCGTTGAAACCAAAAACAGTATTAACCATGTTTGAAATATCTGAATTTTCGGTCAATGATCAATGAAGGTATTGCGTTTTCCTTGCTAACTGGTGGTTATCAAACTCAACAAATGACGTGTGGGAATATTCGTCACAGAAAAAAATTGTGTATTATACACGGGAAAAATATTAGATTTTAGCTAACGATTTTTTGTCTACCTCCGCTGCGCAACCTCGAGCTTAAATCTATTACTTTTTTTTTTTTCGTGTATAATGAATAACTATTAGCAGATATGAATGCTGAAGTTTATTCAATTCATAATGTTTTTCACATCCTGTATGATATGAACATCAATTCATTGTACAACTGACAAATGCTCCCTGACTTTGGATGAACTAGGGATAAACGACACAAAGAAAATGATACAACTTACCTTATAAGAGTGGAATTTTTTTGCAACGAGATTCTTGTGGGGATAAACTTGATCCAGCTGAAAATATTGGCAAAATTAAATACAGTGTGAACATGAGGCTGTAAAGAAATACTACTATAATAAATTAGCTTTTCTGGCAACTTTAATTAGAATTATTATTTTAGTTATGTGCATTCCCAGTTCAATAAAAATGTTGTCTATACTAATATTATAAAGAAGAAAGATTTGTTTGTTTGTTTGTTTGTTTGTTTGTTTGTTTGTTTGTTTGTTTGTTTGTTTGTTTGTTTGTTTGTTTGTTTGTTTGTTTGTTTGTTTGTTTGTTTGTTTGTTTGTTTGTTTGTTTGCTTGTTTGTGTGTTAGCTTGTATTAGCTATCAATTAAGGTAACTTATATAGAAAATACTGTATGAAGAAGTAATTCTTTAATAATTACTTTCTTCTGTGTAACAATTGATTATTCGTTGTTATGTATATATAAAAATTGCTATCCCTAAGTAACTATGATAAACCATACATCAAACTGGGATTATACGAGGAACATATCAGTTTGTTTGTTTATTTGTTTTTTCGTTAGTTAGTTTGTTTGTTTGTTTGTATTGAATTGGCTCCGAAACTACTAGATCGAATTGGCTGAAAATTGGTGGGGAGGTAGCTTAGCACCAGGAGAACGTTATAGGATACTATTTATCACGGTACCATCAGGAAATTCAAGATGGCGGATCTAATAATATATCGGACGAGTTTTGTAATTATGGTCCGATATTCTATTCCAAATTGGAATCTTGGGGTTTTCGGGATCGGAGATTATGATTCTTTCGCCAGAATTTGAAAATTCGGGTGGAATTTGGAAAATCAAGATGGCGGAACCAATATGGCGGACGAGTTTTGTAATTATAATCCGATTCTTTTCCAAATTGGTACCTAGGGGCTTTCGTGATCGGGGATTATGATTCCCACGTCAAAATTAAGAAATTCAAGATGGCGGATCCAAATTGGCGGATTTTGTAATTAGGATCCGATTTTATTCAATTTTGGTATCTGGTGGTTCTCGGGGTCAAAGAATATGATTCTTTCGTGGAAATTAGGGAATTCAAGATGGCGGACCCAATATGGCGGACGAGTATTGTAATTATGATATATCCGACTCTCTTGAAAATTGTTATCTGGGTGTTTTCGGGGTCGGAGATTATGATTCTATTGTCAAAATTTCGAAAGGGCGGGATTTGAAAATTCAAGACGGTGGAACCAATATACCGGACGAGTTGTGTTATTATATACCGATTTTATTCAAAAATTGCAAGTGTGCGTTTTCTTCAAAATTATGATTCCTTCGTCAAAATTGGGGAATTCAAGATAATAGATCGAATATATTGCAGACGAGTTTTGTCATTATAGGTTCCGATTCTATTCGAAATTTTCATCTCGGGTTTTAGGAGTCGGATATTATGATTCTTTCGTCAAAATTGGGAAGTTCAAGTGAATTAAAAAAAAGTTTAAATAAATGGTAGTTTGAAAAACTAAAGAAACATAATAGTGCCTTGATGAATATTGAACTGAAATAATATATTATAGAAATAATGTATGTAGCAAAACAACGTTTGCGAGGTCTGCTAGTTTATTAATATAGTCAACCTTACTTTGAGAGTTTGTTGCAACATGTTGTTGAACCCGAAATCGTCCATCAAATCCATGGAATCACCTTCCGACATACTGCCCGGATTCGGACATTCGAACATGTGTTCCGTATCGCACATGCAATCTTGGGCCGCCTGGTATCTGCGACTGAAAGACGCGCTGTTCTCGAACTCCTCGATACAGCCCTGATCTTCTGAAATCGGGGTAAAATCAGATCACTCAAGTAATTAGGAGGCGCTTAATTAATTGCGATAAAAATATATGGGGTATTCCATTTGAAATAATAAAGTTACTCCTAATATCTGAAAAACTGTAAACTTGGCAACACTGGTGATGCCACCATTGAATCAGACATCATCAATAATCACCCTGTAGAAAATTTCGTGAATTTTTCTCAAGCCGTTTCTGAAATATGAGACCGTTCCGATACTTTTGAAAGACACTGTATATATCCATTTTTTCAAGTTCATAATTTATCTGAGAATATTCCTTTTCAATACTTTCACCCAATCAAGGGGTTCAAACTTGAACGATGGAAACTTATTGTTATTTTTATAGACCTGTATGATGAATATCGATTTGTGATGCATCCAAAAATTCAATAATCTCTTCTATACCTGAGTATCCAACTGGGCAAGGATTGGGTGGGTTGCAGTAGGCTGGTAGAGTCGAATCAGTCTTGATTTCATGATTGTTTTTCATTCCCTCATCTGGTCTCAATAACTGGTTACCCTCTCCAGATCCTCCAGATATGAACTGAAAAAAAATTAGTTGGTGTATTCTTCACTTTAGGACACATGTATATATGAAGAAAAAGTCTTATTTTGATACCAACTATACGTCCTTGAAATATTTACATCGAATTTTGAATCACCCTGTATATCCGAGAAAAAAGTACTCACTTTTTTCCTTGGAAAAAAAGTAGTTTATGAAAATTGACATTTTATAACCTGTCAACAGAGATGAAATTTCAAACTATTTTATATACAGGGTGTTTCAAATCATCATCTGGTCATAGCTTTTGAACAACTTTGTATAATCTATCTATACTTGGTAAAACTATATCACTTATATTACTCATCAAAACTAAATGAAAATCGTGATCAGAATCAAGGTCTGTCTTGAGGAAAAACAGAAAACTTCTTTTATATCAAAAACAACACTCTGTATGGCAACATTTTTCAGATATGTTTCAATATTTCACGACCGCGCATCCGATTTAACAGATGTTTTATTATTATTTTCTGATATACTCGGCTCCATTTTGAGTCATTTTCATTGAACTCGTAATTCAAAATCCAATTATTTCACAAAATAATAACGTCCTTCGAAGTTCAACATCATTGGGGTGAAATAGATAAATCTGTTCGTTCGACAGAATAACGTCTGTGATTTTGGAAATTTTTGAGGGCTTGTTTTATTCTTCACTATTGATTCATGAGCTGCGGTAAATCTATCAATAGTTCACCTAATTTGTTTTTAATGAAGATCAACTTTGAAGACAATTATTTTTTTGTATCAAAATTGGATATTGAAAAACAGTTCAATAAAATTTCCTCGAAATGGGGTGAATATTTCAAAACATAATAATAAACTATCTGTCTAATTGGATGCGCGCTTGTTATAAGTAGGTCACTACATGAATTTTTTCCTGCTCTTTCCAAATATCAAAACAGATCCACAAAATTTTGCCATACTGAGTGTTGTTTTTGAAATAAACAAGTTTTCTGTTTTTCCTTAAGACGGACCTGGATTCTGATCTCAATTTTTATTTAGTTTTGATGTGCAATATAAGTGAAATATTTATACCAAGTATGAATAGATTATACAACGTGGTTCAAAAATTATGACCAGTTGAAGATTTTGCCAAAATCAAGATAACGTCCTGTATCTCAATTATAAAAGACGATAAACATATCAATGGGGGTGATTTGAAACCGTCAAAGTGTCCTCTATCTGCCAGTATCGTATGTACATTTAAGTCTGAAACACCCTGTATATATTTATTATAGTTATTTGTTTTACTAGGCAGAAAAGTACAAGATGGCGTTTCATAGCCTAGGCGTATATATATCCATTTTTATAGGCTCCAATCGCAGATTCGTGATTAGAGGGTTTTTCAATTCAGAATTTCTTTCCACGTCCTGTATGAGGAATGTCAATTTATCATATATCCAAAAAACATAACAATGTTGTTTATTCTCGATGACGTCTAGTACATCCTTTTTAGTTCCTAGGAGCTAAAGTTCAACTTTAGCTCCTAGGAACTAAACATGTTGCCTAGCAACATACCTATTTTTGTGTCAGTAATAGAAACGTCAATTCGAGAGCTAATTTTGGTATCAAAATGGACGACTTTTGTGTCGGTTGCAGAAAAACATATTTTCTAGAAATAGTGTTTATGGCAAAACAACGTTTGCCGGGTCAGCTGGTGTATAATAAAACGTGCGTAGTCGCCTCACCTGGTTGCCCCACAGACTGCCGTGCCGCAAGTACTCCCGGTCCCGCAGCGCCGGCTGCAGCCGGTCCCCGAGCGCCTCGCCGCGCCCCGCGGTGTCGTAGTCGGCGGGGAAGAGCCCGGCGGCGTCAAGGGCGGGCAGGCCGTCGGTGAAGTCGACGTAGGAGACGCCGTCGCCGCCGCCGTCGCCGCGGATGCGGGCCAGCAGGTCACGCAAGAAGATGCCCGACAGGATGCTGTCCTGGGGAGGGAAGAATGTGTGAAGGAAACGTTAACTGGTAACTTGATTGATTGATTGATTGATTGATTGATTGATTGATTGATTGATTGATTGATTGATTGATTGATTGATTGATTGATTGATTGATTGATTGATTGATTGATTGACTGATTGATTGTCTTTATTACCCCAAGAAACATCATTGTTTATAATAGTGATATACAGGGTAAAATGTTTTCATCGATACAGTGTTGCCACTTCTATCAGAAACAACTAGCAACTTTGTTATTTCAAATGGAACACCCTGTATTTTATTGCATTTTTCGATTCTTCCAGTAGGGCTGATTTCATCAATGCATCACACTTGGGGTCGAGCTGGAATGATTACAGTGATATAGGGTGTTCAAAATCGAGATTTTTCAATTTTGGGATTTTTTTTTGTGTCGAAACTATTCATTATTGATCAAAACGGCGTACATGCAATCTTTGAGAAAAGCTCTCATCAATATTGAATTTGTCATTCCTCAAATACATATCATAATTCTATTCTTTCTCGAATACTTTTTCATTAGCCTTCCTCAAGTTACGAGGGGAGTGTATCAACTTCGGCGTTCGTTATTCCTCTACAAAGGATGGTGTCGCCTATAAGAGTTAGGCATAAACAGTGGTTTTATATCAGTTCTATTCCAAGTGCAATGTGAACTATTGAAAAGCAATAGGGTTGTTTTTTAAGGGAGATCTGTTCTCAGAAATGTAAACCAAATTACCTGTGTAGTTGATAACGAATGATATATGAAGCAATTGGAAATTTATAATACTAATTCAGGTTTTTTTCAGCTTGATATTATGGAAACAGCCCTTGGCTGCTTTGGAGGTAGGTGTATAAACTTGGGCGTTCGTTAAGTAGAAACAGAAAATATTCAATATTAATTCATATTTTTTTCAGGATATTCCAAGAATACTGTCAAATATTACAGATTTCTCAGATTAATGAAAATTTCTCTGCAAGAAATGTTAATTCATTTGTAAGACATTTCACTGGAATTCTACTGCTGTGAATGCTTTCCTAGATTATGGAGATCTTCAAGATGAGTTTTCATTAACATTAAATTTTTCATTCCTCAAATACAGATCATAATTATATTCTTTTTCAAACAATTCTCTGGATAAAAACAGATCTTGTCAAGTTTATGGAATCACGCCAGGTACCCTTACGAGGGAAGGGTATCAACTTTGGCGGTCGTAATGCCTCTCTACAAAGGAGGGTGTCGCCTATTAAGAGTTAGGTATGAACAGTGGTTTTATATCAGTTCTTTTCCAAATGTATAATGAACTATTGAAAAGCAATACAGATGTTCTTTTAATGAATATGTGTTCTCGAAAAAGTACACCCAATTATATGACATGTACTTGATGATTAATGATATAAGGAGCAATTGGAAAATTATAATTAGTGTTGCCATCTAGACAAGACAAGATAAGAGTTTACCTACTCTTGTCTTGTCTTGAAATTTCAAGACAAGAGTTGTATACGCGTAAGTCTTGATTAAATAAGCTAAGTGCGGTCTTGTCTAGATAACGAAAGTCTAGATTCTTATTCAAGACTCTAGATAAGACGCTTAGCTTAAATTGCGTAGAAACAGTCAAGTGCATGCAAACTCCCGCTCTCTGGGAACCAATCAAAACAAATCATAGCCGCGCCAGCGAAACGACGTATTTGTAATATAGATTTGAAAATAATCAAGAGTTTTGAATAAAAGTCTTGTATGGAAAATGAAAAGTCTTGTCTTGTCTAGATAATCTAGACAAGACTTATTGATGAATAATGTGAAATATTAGATTTCTCAGAATTTTGTATGGAAACACCATTTTATAACAGACGTGTCATTTCAGCAGTCAAAATTTCTGTAGAAAAAATCAATCAGTTTCACTGTCAACTTTGGGAGGTTAGAGGTTAGGTTAAGGTTATGTGAACCCTCGATAAAATCAGAACCCAGATTATTCATACTAAACACATGAGTTCCAATATCAGAATTCAATGATCTGCAGATTATCCTTAATTTTGAATATGTTTGAGTAAGACTCATTGTTCTCATTATTTTATAGTACCTAATCTATTCATTGTATGTAGGTATCTCAGTACACCTCGACGGTGTAGAAGAGAATCGTGTGACATGATTCAATCGATACATTCTATACTTTTATAAATCGGATGATCTGAAAATAATACACAGAATGAAAGCACATACCTTTCCAGGTGGTAAATAGCATAGGGCCCCACCAAGGGACATCATGAGGATAAAGAACTTCATCTTCTGGATTTCGACCTATAAAAAAAATTGAATCGTTGAGAAATCGTCAGCTCAATCTTAAAAACATGTTCAGAGTTATAAGTACCTATTAGATAATATGACAAATTTGATTTTTGCCAATTACCTTTCGGAAAAAAGTCACGGGGTGACTTATGTGATAAAAAAAAAGTTAAACTGCCAATATGGGAAAACATTTTTTTACAAGCGTGCGTGATTCACCCTATACCCGTACGCAATTTAGTTTGGAAAGTGTCATTTTCCCGCAACATTGCGGGAAATTTTTTCCCACACTAGTGCGGGAAATTTTTTCAGAAATATTGGAAAATAAAAATTGATTATTATAAAAATCCCCCTATAGATTTGGATTGATCTGATGGCAAACGAAAGTGTCTTTCCCGCACTCGACTGCTTGCCCGAACTCCGCTTCGCGTCGTTCGTGTCAACGGCAGTCGCGTGCGGGAAAATTACTATTACATTCTTTTCAGAAAATTGGTGCATTTGTTTAGAATCTGAAATGAAAGCATGACATTTTCAAAATAAACTCACAGTGTCTATGTAACGTATGTCAAACCTACTTTATGACGCGGCTCCTATGCTGAATTTTCTGAATCAAACGAGAAAAAAAAAATTAAATGATACAGATTGTTTTTTTTTTTCAATAGTCTAGAAAAAGTTGCAGTTGTAGTCCAAAACTGTCGCACCATATGGGTGATGGAACACCAGCTTTACAACATGAAATTAAGGAATCGCAGTTCTTCTGAAGGAATTTCTCCACTTCATTCTTGTTAATCAAATATCGGGATAATTCATCTGGGATTCTCAGGAAACGTGTATTATTGCAATATCAAAAAACCTTAAATATGGAAAGTTTTACTAATAAACAGTCTTGAATGGGTTTTGGACGTATAGGTACCTAAAACCACCTGTTATGGATATAGGAAATTGCGGTACTCATCTCTAAAACAAACAGAGTAGATATGGTACATACGTAAGAGGGAGTTTTCATGACACATTATTCAGAACATCAGAAGCATATCTAAAATTGATAACTCACACTGGTATTCTGTATGACGTATATAGATATCGAAGGTGCAGTGTCAAACCTCCTGTATTTAGAAGTGGCTCTTAAGCATTATTTGCCACATCGCACAATCGCACAAGAATGAAGAAATGAAAATTATGAAAACAATAGAAAATACGCCGGTGGCTGATGGACTCAATATGTTTTCATGAAACTACCAGTTGATGCAAGAGGGGCGGATTTCATGATGTATGGTAAATTTGCCGAATAACCACAGTCTTGAATGGGTTTTGGACGTATATAGGTATCCAAAACCACCTGTTATGGATATACGAAATTGTGGTACTCATTACTAAAAAAACAGAGTAGATATGTACATACGTAAGCAGAAGTTTTCATGACACATTATTCAGAACATCAGAAGCATATTATCTAAAATTGATAACTCACACTGGTATTCTGTATGACGTATATAGATATAGAAGGTGCAGTGTCAAACCTCCGGTATTTAGAAGTGGCTCTTAAGCATTATTTGCCACATCGCACAATCGCACAAGAATGAAGAAATGAAAATTATGAAAACGATAGAAAATACGCCGGTGGCTGATGGACTCAATATGTTTTCATGAAACTAACAGTTGATGCAAGAGGGGCGAATTTCATGATGTATGGTAAATTTGCCGAATAACCACAGTCTTGAATGGGTTTTGGACGTATAGGTATCCAAAACCACCTGTTATGGATATACGAAATTGTGGTACTCATTACTAAAAAAAACAGAGTAGATATGTACATACGTAAGCAGAAGTTTTCATGACACATTAATCACAACATTAGAAGCATATCTAAAATTAATAACACACTAGTATTCTATATGGCGTATATAGATATAGAAGGTGCAGTGTCAAACCTCCTGTATTTAGACGTGGCTCTCAAGCATTATTTGCCACATCGCAAAATCGCACGAGAATGAATAAATGAAAATTATGAAAACGATAGAAGATACTCGGGTGGCTGATGGACTCAGTATTATTTCATGAAACTACCAGTTGATGCAAGAGGGGCGGATTTCATGATGTATGGAAAGTTTGCCGAATAACCACCAGTGGCGTGTTCAAGGGGGGGGGCAGAGGGGCCCGGGCCCCTCCCAAAGCAGGCTACACTCGAATAAAAAAACACGAAAATTTCGGTTCATCCAGTCTTATTTGATATTTATAGAAATCTACCATTTAATTATTAATATATGATGATTGTTTTATGCTACACGGTGTGGATATTTTATACACTGAAAAACTCGTTAAATCGTTAGATCATATACCTGAAGTGGAACCACGAACAGTTGAGAAGAAGAATATTATTCTCTTCGCCCGCCGGTCAGCCTGACCGGCGGGTGGCGATCGTGTTTCCGTTTCCGTTTATATAATCGTTGGCGATCACGTGGGTGCCAAATGATCAGCGTTTACTGTTCAAAGTTTTCAGTTAGCTGTAGACTGTAGAGTCGCTGAGTTAGTTGGTGGCGGTGGTAACTTTGCATGAGTAATCTCGAGTCATATCAAAACAAGAACTAACAGCTGAAATAATAATGTGGCAAAAAAGATGGGAAAATAAACCAATTTGCCCTCTACTTTTTCAGCAATCGAAGAACTTTGTTTTGGGGCAAGTTTGTTCCCTGCAATAAAGATTTTACTGCAAATATTTGTCACTCAACCTGTATCAACGGCAACAGCGGAAAGGAGCTTTTCAACCATAAAGCGCTTGAAAACCCACTTGAGGTCAACCATGGGTGAACAACGTTTGAATGGTCTAACTTCACTTAACATTCACAAAGAAGTTGATTTGAATATTGAAAATGTAATAAATAGGTTCGCCACAAGTAAAGCCATACGAATGAGCCTCAAAGACTGGTCAGGTTGAAATAATTGATCTAAAAAAATTTATAAGTATGCTATTTTCCATGTTTGTTCATTGCTTAGCCAAATTAAAAAAGAATGGTTGTTCTGGTGTTGTTTCGTTTAATTATATTCGTCAATGTATCACGACAAATTTTGGCAACATTTTTTATTTTTGCCTCGGCCCCCACCTGTGAGATTCTAAACACGTCACTGATAACCACAGTCTTGAATGGGTTTTGGACGTATAGGTACCCAGAACCACCTGTTATGGATATAGAAAATTGCGGTATGTACTCATCTCTCAACCAAACACAGTAGATATAGTACATACGTAAGCAGAAGTTTCATGACACATTATTCACAACATTAGAAGCATATCTAAAATTAATAACTAACACTAGTATTTTATATGACGTATATAGATATAGAAGGTGCAGTGTCAAACCTCCTGTATGTAGACGTGGCTCTTTAGAATAATTTGCCACATCGCACAATCGCACAAGAATGAAGAAATGAAAATTATGAAAACGATGACATACAAACGGTGGCTGATGGACTCAATATGTTTTCATGAAACTACCAGTTGATGCTAGAGGGGCGGATTTCATGATGTATGGTACTTACCCCGAGGGTCGAACTCTGAATGCGGATGAAATAGGAGGCCTTGCAGGGCGAATCGATGACGCGTCGGTGGGCATCGCGCGTCGCGACGCGTCGGTTGTGTAGGTATCTTCCTGCCGCGTACGTCATTCCATGGTGACAAATCGATACCAACGCCATCGTAGGTGTATACAGTGTGTTCCTATTCAAGGACTCGCCATCCCTGAAAAATGATGGAGACATTTTTAATTCATATACAGTGTGTCCCACTTACCATGCTCACCATGGGTATCTTCTTAACGGTGAGAGATACGAGGTCGGTTAAATGATACCAAGTGTAGAGTTTGTCAAGGCCAACTATAATGTGAAAAAATATTTTGATGAAATCTATTCGTTTTTGTTTTATACGCAAAAACAGATTTTGATCATTTTCATGTCTCCTCCGTAACTTGTTTATTTATGGAAATATTCAAATATGAATTTCACATCCTCATGGCACTTTCTCAAAGTGATTTCGAAAAAAATATGAAATTTATACCAACTCTTCTAGAATTTGAGATATCAGCACCAACTTTGGTTTTTCGAATGTAGGTCATAGCTCACTATGACTTAGTTGAAAATAACTTTTTTTTCTCTTACAGATGATATGTCGCAGTAATAGTTTTGTGTTGATAACAACGGAGTTATCGTCATTTATACAAAAACAAAAAATTATTTGGAAGCCGCCATCTTGAATTTATAAATTTTAACAAAAAAATCATGATCTCGAAAACCTCCGCTTATCAATTTTGGATGGAATCGGATCAAATCATGTCCGCCATCTTGGAGCAGCCATTTTTTTTAATTTCAACAAAAATTCCATATCTCCGATTAACTTGAAATTTGGCAAGTGTTCATAATTTCGGTGACAATACATCATGGAATTTTTGTTGAAATTAAAAAAAATGGTTGCTCCAAGATGGCGGACATGATTTGGTCCGATTCCATCCAAAATTGATGAGCGGGGGTTTTCGAGGTCGGAGATCATGATTTTTTTGTTAAAATTTATAAATTCAAGATGGCGGCTTCCAATTAATTTTTTGTTTTTGTATAAATGACGATAACTCCGTTGTTATCAACACAAAACTATTACTGCGACATATCATCTGTAAGAGAAAAAAAAGTTATTTTTAACTAAGTCATAGTGAGCTATGACCTACATTTGAAAAACCAAAGTTGGTGCTGATATCTCAAATTCTAGAAGAGTTGGTAAAAATTTCATATTTTTTTCGAAATCACTTTGAAAAACTGCCATGAGAATGTGAAATTACTATTTGAATATTTTCATAAATAAAGAAGTTACGGAGGAGACATGAAAATGATCAAAATCTGTTTTTTGCGTATAAAACATAAACGAATAGATTTTATCAAAATATTTTTTCACATTATAGTTGACCTTGATAAACTCCACATTTGGTGTCATTTAACCGACCTCGTATCTCTCACCGTTAAAAAGATACCCATGGTGAGCATGGTAAGTGGGACACACTGTATACAGGGTGTTGCACAGTTGTGGTGACAAAAGCCTAGGGAGATTCCTCTCAAAAATATTTCTCAAAATTAGAAGGTGGTGTACATTTTGGAGAGGGTATTGAATTTTATGTATATTTTGTTTTCATAAATAATAATTTGCAATACATTTTTGGATAATATCTATAAGCATTTTTATTTTTCCTTATGGAGTTCAGAGATATGCTGAGGTATGGTATTGTCCGTTTCATTCGAAAACGAAGCAAGATACGAAAAAATAGCAGAGACAGGAATGTTGTATTTTCAATGGGTTCATCTGAATATTCAAGAACCCGAAGAAAACACAGGGTGATTCTATTTCTACAAAGAAGCCGACTTGCTCGATGGGTACGCCGCTGGAAATTCTGGATCAAATCCTAGCAGTGGCGGCTCGTGCTTCTTTCAATAGGGAAGGCTGAATGGGAAATGTGAAATTCTACGAAAAAACTGACGACACTTATATGGTTCCTGTTTGTTTGTATGCTGATTTACGACAAAAAACAGAAATTGTGTAAATACGTTCATTTTCGATAGTATTTAATAAAATTCTGATAGATAATTCAGTGTCCATATCAATTCCAAAGAGAATTCGTACAGCGACATCAATTAGAATAAGATGTGATTAAGATGTAACAAGAACCTTATATTGCGATTTTCAACTGTTTATTGCCATCAAATTTGGGAATCAGTTCAAATACCATATACTCGCTTTCCGTTAAACGTTGCCAAATCGCAAATTCTATTCTATTCTGAATACTTTCAAGTATAAGAGCATTGTTGCCAAATTCTCAAATCCAACTTGGATCAGGAAATAAAACCAATGAAACGAACGTAAGTTAGCTATTTCGGTGTAATATTTTATGCAAGTATATTGAACTATTCGATGTATTGAAATCTTTGAGGAGACTCAGCCTTCGTTGCCTTCTCTGAGGAGCCGCCACTGAATCCTAGAGACATTTTTTCAATATTAATTGATAAAAGAAGTGTTAGGTATGTTTTTTTCAAGATGAAGATGGATTCTTATTGAGTACCTATAGTACCACATCAAGCGTATCTGTACAGGGTGGACCAAATTAAAGGGAAAGTCCTATTCTCGAACTAGATGGAAGAAAACTGGTGTTGGTGCCTGGGGGTCGATTATCCTGAAAAACTCAATGGCAAAAACCGCATATCGATATCTGTCTTCGTTTTGGAGTTACAAGGTGTTTTCGAAAATAGTTATTTTCGTTAATTTGCTTCCTACCCAGCGAGCACAAACATCCCTGGGATGTTTTGAGATGTTTTGAAAATGTTGGCATGAAGATGTTATTTTGAGACGTAATATGCACTGACCAAAGAGGTCTTTGAAGGATATTGAAGTATTGTTTTTGTTCTTTTGTGGCATTTCTTTGTTTGCCTACCGAGAGGTATCCCTGGGATGTTTTGGGATGTTTTAGAAATGTAGGCACGAGGATGTTTTTTTGAGGCGTAATATGCACTTCCCAAAGAGGTCTTAGAAGGATATTGAAAGTATTGTTTTTGTTCTTTTATGCCCTTTCTTTGTTTGCCCACCACAACGTCTCATGCTTACGTCACAATACGATGAATTCTGATTTGTTTTCGATTTTGTTCTTCTTGTTCGCAATTGGTATTCGCGTTTGCAGCGTGTCACGCTTACATCACGCTGCTAACGAACAGAAAGGAATTTGTTGAAGTTTATTGTGTTAGAAGACTTATTTAGTTTGTAATAATGACCATCAGATGCAAGATGTGTTGTTCGGTGTCTCAGTGTAATCAATATATAAAAGTACAAATTCATCAATACACAGCTTCTCCGCTGTTGCAAAATTATGCATTGTGGAGAACATTTCAAAAATTGGGAAACCTATTTCCAATTATATGTCTGTGTGTAGTAAGCACTACTCAGAAACCGATTAAGAAGGTAATTTCATATCAAGAAAATATTGTTCAATCTATTTTTAATGCATTTTTTCATTCAAGGGAAATGGAATCCTAATGCAATAGTTCATTTTGACAAAAGGCTTCAGAAAAGTACCTCGAAAATGGTTTTTTTACAGCGATTTAATGTGCGCAAGACGCGTTGAAAATGTTTAGTTGTGTCCATGAAAAGGCTTTAAAAAGAACTAGGGAGAAGGTAGTTTTGTGACATATCAAGGACATCTCGATAATTGCCGCCTGCGGCGGACATTGGCTGTTCTATAAGAGTTCTATTCATGTGTGAACAGAACATCGCAGTGGAGGTTCAATGTCTCGAAATCTCGTACTTTTAACATCTCAGATGTTTTTGTGCTCGCTGGGTACCTACCTACAATTTTGTCAAGAATTGTCTTTTCTCATGAAAATATCTGCAAAGTATTGAGTGTGTGATGAAAATTGTTCATGAACCACTGAAATCAGCCTTCATACATCAAGTTTAAGAATATAACTGGTTCTTCTTAAAGGAAAAGTTCCATTTTAAAACTAGGTTTACGGTGACTTTGAAAATGTTTGCCAGAAAAATAGTTTTAGCAACTTTTCAAAAATTCACATTTTTGAAAAACATCTTGTTACTCTGAAACGAAGATAGATATCGATTTGCGGTTTTCACCATTGAGTTTGCCATGTGAATTGATGAAATTGAATTGATGAAAAGGCACCGACATCAGTTTTTTGTTATGTAGTACGGGAATATGACCTTTGAAATGGTCCAATTTGGCCTCGAATTTGGCCCACACTGTACAGATTTTTATGGGGAAGATTTACATTCGTTTACCAAATTATCTGAAGGAGATGCAGAACGACAAAAGATTTAGGGAGTCTGTTGAAAATTTGCTTCTCAATTAGGCCAACTATTCACTTTTTTATATCTGACAACATATTTTTTTGCGTTGTTCAAAAATAAGTGAAACAATTGGATGAAATTTGACAAAAGTGCATTTCACATGATAACCCTTCTTTCAATGATCACATAAACGTGAAAGAAATTGTAGAAGGGTTGAAACCACACTCACCCCCTGACATTTTTTACAGAACATTCTTAGGGGTGGTAATAGGGTTCTCAATTCTTTTGAGCAAGACGACTGATTCATTATCTTCATTTTGTTACTCTTGTGAAAATTCCGTATTCCGCATAGTTCCAAAGGAAAGAAATGTTTTCTTAAATAATGCCAACAGATATTCCTAGCAAAGATCATTAGTTAAAGTTTGATTGTGATACAAAATTATTTGGCACTGGAAACAAACGAATTGACATTCGTATTGATTAAGGTGTGCTTCATATTGAACATTAACTCAAAAAAAACGTTCTGCCTTTGTTTCCACTGTCAACTAAATTTTTCATTATAATGATATTAAACTTTCACTATAGGAATATCTGTTAGCATTATTTAAGAAAACAATAAGCGTAATACGAAATTTTCACAGGAGCAACAAAATAAAGATAATCAATCATTCATCTCGGTAAAAAAAAATTGAGAACCCTATTACCACTCCAAAGTATGATCTGGAAAAATGTTGGGGGGTGAGAGTGGTTTCAACCCTTCTACAATATCTTTCGGGATTCTTCGATCACTTGCCTCCCCAGCTATGTTATCTGCTAGCTAGTTTTCTCTCGAACAGGTGTCTCCTTGTAGTGGTCGACGGAGTTTCATCTGACTCTCTTATCATAAATGCTGGTGTTCCGCAAGGATCAATTCT